GCAATTGTATGTATACAAGGAGCAAAGCAAGCTTTTTTGATATGTCATTCGGGGCGTGTTCTGGAGGCATTGGGCATCTGTGATTTGTGAATTCTCAATTAGACGAGACCAACCAKAAAATAGACTGATAATGTTTTCTACAACGATAGTAGTAGATTACAACCGTGGTAACAGTGTTTATAGGCTTGTTTATCCAGCATGGTCACATGGTATATGGTAATAATAAATAATGATTCGGTCGGTGATGATAGTGTATTAATCTATTGTTTTTTTGGTATTAGACAATAGACATTCATGCCATTCATGGACRGTGGAATGTGTTTTGGACATATGCCTTAACTGTTCATTTAATTTTGATTTTTGAAACGAAACATAATATCGTCTTATACTCTTATTATAATATTATGGCGGATGAAGAATTTGAGCACGACGAGTGAGTACTGCTCTCTTGTTTCTTCTTTTAATTCGYCTTCTCTCCCGACTATTTGGGGTCGGTCACTCTGGTCCTCAATTTCCAGTTATTACGATCCTTAGCATACTCCTCACAAACACCAGTCATTCTCATGTCGCACTCTATAACTTTAAACCATCTCTTTTTCCATCCTTCTCATGTTCTTTGTCACAAAAACTGCCTCAGTTCTCTTCTTTAAACATGTCCTAGCCATTTCAACCTATTCTCGCGCAATTTGTCAACTATTAGAACACTCCTATACTATCTCTTGTTTACTCATTTCTTATTCTGTTCTCTCTTGTCACTCCTCTCATCTACCTTAACATTTTCATATCGGCATCACTCATTTTCCTCTCCATTGTTTTATCTATAGCCCAACATTACGATCCATATATCATCGCCGGCCAGCGCCCTAACTACCTTCTTATAAAATTTACTTTTTAACCTGATTGGGATTCTTCTATCGCATTAAACACMTGATGCTTCTCTCCACTTCATCCATCCACACTTAATCCTATGCATAATATCTTCGTCAAAACCACTATTCTTTTGTAATACGGATCCTAAGTACTTGAAACTATCAACTTCTATTTCGCCCACTATATTCACTGCATGCCTATTCTGATTTACTCTTTGGACTCTAACTTTAGGATGCAAATTGAACTCTATTTTTCTCTCTATACTTTTCCATCCCTTGTCTTACACAAAATATCGRCTCCATTGTCGACTAGCCGGGCATAAAACCAAATTGATTTTTTGAAACCGATTTCTCACCTCTAATCCTTAAATCAATTACCTTTTCCCAAATTTTCTTAATGTGACTCATTAGTTTAATTCCTCTACAGATTCCACATTCTTGTACATCACCTTTTCTTTTAAAAATTGGTATCACCTAACTCTTTCTCCTAGAGTCTGGAATTTTTCCTCCAACTAAAACCTGTTRAAGAACCTCGTCAACCAGTCTACTCCTAATCTCCMTAGCAMTTTCCAAGCTTCTACTRGTATTCTATCTGGACCTACTGCTTTTTTCATTTTTCTTTTTTCTAACCACCCTCCACACTTCTTCTTTTCTTATTAGATTTACCATACATTTTATTGCACCCGATCTCCATAGCCATAAGTCTATGCTSTGTTGTCGCACTTTCTCCTAGGATTACTTTGCTATCCTGCCACTTTTAAACRTAACATAATGTTCTTCTCTCTTCCTAAAATATGAGTTCTTAATGGCGAAATCAAGTACTTTTCCTCTTGCATATTTTCTGAGACCAAATCCATACCCTCCATGTACTTTATCGTAGACAGTTCAATCACAGCCTACATGACCATTCATATCACCACCAATCACAATCTCTTCTACTCCTGGTATTCTCTGTATTACTTCATCCATCTCTCTCTAAAATTTTACACTGGCTGTCGACCTGATCCAACCTCATATTTCATCTTTTACGACAGGCTAAGGAGCAGTAGAAGTATTCTAACCCTCATTCCACAGGGGTAGCTGCTCTCTTGCTAACTACTGAATAATTTATTYGTGTTGTTTATACATATTATATAACACATTTATACTATGTTTACCTTTTAAAAATGAATTTACTACTTATGTAAAAGCCCATTCAAGTACAACTTTAAAGGAGAATAGTATTTTATAACAAATTGACACAAAAACTTTCAATTTATTTGTTGGCAAACTATTTTTAATCTAAAACATATGATATGTCTAGGAAGTATATTACAATCTGATGTACTGATTTGTATAATTAGTGATTTTGATACATTAAGGGCCAGTTGTA